ACCTCAACTCGTCCGTGCGAGTTCATATAAACTCGGGCGCGTCGAGGTAAGCTGAACCCGCCACTCAACTCAGCCCGCCCCCGTCGCGTCCATGTACACGGGGCTCTTGTGGGTTTTCTTGGCGCCTGAACCGGTCCGACGACAGCCTTGTTCACGCTTGACTGAGCGGAAATCAGGCCGTTTCAAGTGCAGACTCTTGCTTGGAATGTGTCTAGAACTTCTTTTTTTTTTTAGGTTCACAACCACCGGAAGAATTTCGGTGCTGATGACGGTCATAACAGCGGCTTTTGGTGCATGCTTAGCCATCTCACAATATTTACGTCAAGATTGCTCACGCAGGCGCAATAAGTCGTTGATGAGGGCTGACTGCTCATAGGTAAGCCGGGAAGTGTTCATTGGTTAGTTAGATAGTTAAGGAGACGAGTGACCGTTTCTCGTGACCAACGCGTCCGAGCGCCCATGCGATGTTTGCAGTCAACGTTTTTAGACGTTGACCGCAGTGCAACAACGTTGCAGTGCAGTTCGCTCAGTGAAACCGGGGCGAAGCTTCTTATGCCGTGGGTCGTGTGTCTGCGATGTATGTAGTAGTAGTGGGTAGCCACCAGTGGTTTCGTCCTTGGAATGTCCGTTGGATGGCGGTACTTCTATATAATTAATATATGATGAAAAGGCTCGAGATGGCTGTAGTTGGAGTGTTCAATAGATAAACGGGCGGACGGACGGATGGATAGACAGACGGACGGATAAACGCATGGACGGAATCGAGAATTAACGGACGGACGCTTCGCCCAACTCACCATCATTCAGTCCGTGGATATGCTGCGATTTTTATTTGCTCTGAGTATCCGTGGTATCGGACACAGTTTCGGCAGAGACTAGAAGGTGAACTGCAGGAACCAACGTTTTGCTTTGGGAAACACGGCACAGCACGCGGATTCGGACCATGGCCGTCGGCCATGGTCAGAATGGGGTTGTGGACTGTAGTACAGACAGACTTATCAAAAACGGCAGTGATAACGGCACGCCGTCTGACCCTCAGCTCTCTAGGTGGGGGGGGGGGGCAAATTAGTGTTGCATCGAGGGGGGGGGGGAGTATAGCACGTGTGTATCTTGGGTGAAAGCAAGTGCTGGTGAGGCTCGGAGGAGGGGGGGCAATTGCCCCTTTTGCACCCCCCGTGCCGATGCTCATGATTCAGGCTTAACGATCACACGTTAAAAAGAAACTTTTTTTTCAACGGCCCATAAATTCTGCTGCCTTTCATGTCCCCAAGCAGGGACGGCTGAAAATTTAGTGCTGCTAATACGATCTGTATAGATGCGCAGGTCAAACGTTGTAATAAAATACACGCACAGAAGGCGTAAGTCAACCGGTTAAATAAATCGTAAAAAAAAAAAAACACTTAAAGGGGCCCTCCAACACTATTCAATCCCCCATGTTTTATTCGTGGGTTGTGTAGACTGAAGTACAGACAGAATAATGCAGCGAAAACGACAGTGATAATGGCACGCTGTCTGAAGTTATTTAACTTGGAAAATTCAAAATACAACGAAAAAATGCCGACCCTCAACTCCATTTTTGCGGGGTCTCTTGACCCCATTTCACTATGTGCATGTGTATATTAACTCCATGAATGTAATTTTTTTAGTATGCACGCGTAGCTCGAAAGTATACCAATGAGTTTTTATGAAAAACAGAATTATGAAGTTGGCGTCGGTAGCCACAGAGAAACTCTATCATACAGTAACATTATACTCTATGACGTTATGCAACAACTTCTAGAGGAGACATTGCATAAAGTCGTAAACATAAGGTCGAAAATTTCTAGAGGAGGCGTTGTTTTATGTTCTGTTAATATTAGTCGGAGCAGATTGACAGCAACATTCATGGCAACATGTGTGTGTGGATGGATTGATATGGCTGAACCCTTCAGATAGGGCGGTGGCTAACGCAACCGAGCCGTAATACTTAGTGAACCAAACACTAGATTTATTTTTTTTCCTTTAAATAGTGAGTTTGAGGACTCGTACTTTGCAGTGAAGGGTTTAATATTCACTCGTTCATTGACTTTAGCCACCAATCAGATAACCACCTTCTTGTTAATTCTACCCGCTTAGAGTCTATTTTGCCTTTCCTGTCTCTAAACCCCAGTGCTTTGAAAAACTCTGCGCCATCATCCTGAACTGCAAGGTGAAGCCCTTTACAGAACATTATCAAGTGCTGGGCAGTTTCCTCCTCCTCTCCACACGCACTGCATACCGTACGTCTACCCCTTCGTATTTGGTCCGATATGTCTTGGTTAGCAATACTCCCGTCCTGGCCTCTAACAGTAGAGAACTACCCCGAATATTATCCTAGATCCTTTCCTTGGCCATTTCCTGCTTAAAAGTTCGATAGATCTCTAGTTCGGACTTCGTAATCATGCCAATTCTCCCCCCCCCCCCCTCCGTTTACTTCACCTTTGCCAGCGTCTCCTGCGCCGCGCAGCAGTACAGTGTTCTAGAAGTACACTGTAGCAGCAGCCAGCCCCACACAGAAGTGGTTTCTGCGCCGCACGGAAGTGATGTCACTTAAAATATGATCGCCTAAAGCTCTTTAAGTGTATAAACTATTAATGTGTAATGTGTTAAAGCTACAAAACTTTTACTGAACAGATGTTTGGCGAGTCAATCGCCTATATTTGTTGATTAAACGCATATTACAAGTATTTTAAATACAGGGGGTGCCATGGGCGCTGCGGCTGCGAAAGGTAAGCAGTGTGAGATGGTAGCTGCCTGCGATTTGTGTTGATGGCGTGGTTGGTGGTGAAAACTTCGAAAAAATTGTGGCCAGGGCCTAGGCCGCCCCCAAGGAGGACCGGAGACCCTCTGTCGTCGCTGCTTCAAGTGATTGCTGAATGCCCAGTTGAACCTGGAGGTTGGAGCTAGCGCGGCCGTCACTCGCGCCGCAAGCTTCACCTGAGTGTGTGCGCCGTAAAGTTTCTCAGTATGAAGTGCGGATTATTGTTGTTGGACGTGCTGCATTTTCTAGATCGCAATGGCAGTCGTAGTGTTGTCAAGGGCGAAAGTGTCCTTGCTGCCGAGTTTTGCTTGTCACGAAGGGCAAGGTCGACGATGAAATAAATGCTTTTGCACATTTCCCGTGTGAATGAACGGACGCACATGCGTGAAAACCCAGTGCTTCTGCGAAGTGTTCTTACGATGAATGGAAACAACTTTATTGTAGTGTTCTTACGAAGCCTGGGATCTCCGAAGGCCAAAGCTTCTGCATTGCCGGCTGTTTTGTTAAGGGTGGATACGTATTGCTCTCATCCGTCGCTACGTAAATGCTCCCGTGCTGTCAGGTCGTGCGTGTTATTCAGCAAGGCAGACAAGCTGTTTCGTAGTTAGATGGGCTAACGCCGTCGGCACTTGCCCTTGGGCATCGTTTATCAAGGGCTGATTGCCTAGACCATTGCGGTGACACGTCAGTATTTTGAAGCGGCCTGCTAGTTACTTTGTCAGGTGATGGTACACTGAGCGACATATAAAAAGTTTCTTGCGGCTATGTTGCAGTGCCCGTTTCTGTCATCAAAACTTTGATAAACCATGGAAATCAACATTCCTGACACGTGTGCCGGAGAAACCAATGCAGCAGCTGCATTTGAGTTTTTCGTGTCCTTTTGCGTCTCGCCGATTAAGAACATTATTTCGCAAAACACTTTATCATAGTAAATATAGTCAATTCTGCGAGAGTGATCAAACATACAATATTAAAGGGCGTGTGGACAGGACCACCACCAGCACAAGTCAGGCTGACGGGAGGCCGATGAGGAGGCGCAAATTTTAAAGCAATACATGCGCGAACAAAAAAAAAAGGATAAACAAAGACTGCAATGAAGCTCGAATCACCGACCTCACCCGTTCTTAATGTGCCGCTCTAACCAACTACGCCACAGCTGCCAATTACGTCTGAACAATTAACAAGCCGGTTTTGTATTGTCACGCCGGACCTAACATTTTTTTACTTTTACGTTTGGACGCAACTTTAACGGCTTCTGTCGTTACGTCTAGACGTACCGCTAGACACTCCGACTATTCAATCGAAGCGCCTAACCAAAAAAGTACATGACGTCACTTCTGTTTAGCGGAGTAGTTGTTTTTGTGTGTGTGTGTGTGTGTGGGGGGGGGGGGGGGGGGGGCTCGTGCCACGGCCACGTGCACCACTCGGTGCAGCAGTTTCTTTTTGATTTGGCCCCCTGCTCTTTTCTAAGTATTTACCTGTCAATTATTTTCTGATTCGCTTCCTCCATAATGTATCGACATTCCTCATGTACAAACCTTCTTAGCCTAACGCTCCTCCCCCATTTCTCTCAATCGCTCATGGAGGAAGGAAAAAACAGTTTTCCTTCCTCCATGCAATCGCTTCTCAAATTTTATCTTGCTGTTAGCTTCTCTGCCCTCGAATGATGTCCATCCCATCGGCAGCGCGGTCAGCGCCACAGGCACGGAGGCACCTTTCCTTCGGCCATAGGCAACGCCTCCTACATTTCCCGTGCCTGCCGGATTATCGGTAGTCGCTTGGGAAGCGGTGGTCGTCGAAACTACGGGGGTGACGCCACTCAAGTAGGGGATGTCTTCAAATAAGTTTTTTTACGTTTTTGGAGCTCATATGCCACAAAAATAACGCAGAAAAGTTTTAAAAAGGCGTAAACGTAATTATAAATAGCTCTACGTAAGTGACGCCACTATTCAACAAGCAAACTTTTTATTTCAAGGCATCCTCTAAAACTAGTAGCAAACGCCAAGACTACAGATCTCAAAGGCCAAGTACAAAAACCCTTATTCCTACGTAGGCAGCGCCGTCATAAATGACCGGCGTTTCGCGCTTATTTGGCAGGCACAAGAAATCTAGGAGGCGTTGCCACATGTGTTCTGTGGCGCCACCACCTGTCACTTTCTAGCTGTCCAATCACAGCCAACGTTTATCGCATCACATGTCACACATTTTCTGGCGCCTAGCATTGACGGGAGCGCGTCTGTCCGTGCGTCGAGAGAGTTGCAGAGTTTATGCGTGAGTTGTTGCCGAGTTGCAGTGCTTAAAGTTACCAGCTTATCGAAGGCCATTTGCCCTCGTAGTGAAATTCAGATGGCTTCCACTGCACCGAAATGGCTTTCCCCCGACCTCCAAGGCGGTCGAGTGCAACTTCGAATGAACGACGGCAATATTATCGAAGGCGTCGTTGTCGATGTTTCCCTGAAGTCATATAAAGTCACGCTCGATCAAGGTGAGCTTGCCTTTGTATTGATCACAATAAAAAATATCCGGTGCTTGCCTTTTGAAGCTGTCGCTGGCTTCGAGAGTCCATGTTCTGTTTCTTCTTCGAGACGCCTACGTTTCGGCGTTATGATCACGGACGCTGTAGCACTCTTAGCCAGCGATCAAATGTTTTTTTCTTTGCACCAGAGAACGATCGCTTGCGCTTAATAGACAGATTTAGTTGCGCGTCGACAACAGACCGCGCGGACGCAGTCTCCCATTGCAAATAGGTGGCAGGCTGCGTCCCTACGGCTGCTGCGAACGCGCATCTAAATATTTCTAATTCATTGTACGTTAGCGCGCGCAAGTTCAATCGTCAGCTCTTGCGTATTTTCGTTTCGCGGATGCTTCCTCTAACCGGTTTCTGCAACTTATTTCTTAGTTACAGTTGAGGAGAACGGCGTACAGCAGTCACTTGTTGGACAGCTCCACTTCTACGCGCAAGAAATCTCATCGTGTGAGTAGCAATGACAGTGTGAAACGCTATGCCGACCTGCGTAGCTCGAACAGTTTCCATGCGGCGTTTCAATTTGTTTAACCCGCGTTGCGTGTTACAGGTGTGGTGCTGGAGGGCCCGGCGCGCAGGAGATACATTCTGCATCGAGAGTAAGTGTAGAGTCACTCTTGAGACCTTTCACCTTCATGTTCAAGTTTAACCTTAAGCCATTACGTGATGAGGCCATTAATTTACTTACACTACGATGCCACCTTTCAGCGAGGATGGACCACGTTTGCTGAGAGTTCGTCCGTTACCTGCTCACCTTGAAAAACTGAATTCAGCTCACAACAACAGGGAATTAATTTGCCATCGCCAAGAAACTGACACCTCCGAGGTGATCAAGAAGGGCATCATAAAGCGTAAGTTCATTCTCTCGTTTTTTTCTTTGAAAGAAATGCTAGCAAATCTAATGCACGTAAATGCACTTATCTAGCCCATGATGTAGCCAACTTCTGTAAGTCTGACGGCAAACAAAAAAAGCAAAACGCTTTTAGCGTTTGCTTGTTGAAATGAAGAAATGCTAGTGTTGTATACTTTTGCAAAACAGTTTAATTGAGCAAAACTGCTAGTAGGATAAAATTCTTGTCATTGATTGTTGTCATTGAATATGTGCCTCTTTATTGTCTATACATGGGGGAAATCACTGTCCCCATATGATTAATATGCAAAGCAAAGCAGTAGTGCCTACATCTAAGATAAGAACTGAATGGATAAAGAAACAATATATGCAGATACCTATAATACCTTCTTTATAATGCATTTCTGAAGCCTAGATATTTTGTCTCATTAGCTCTTCAGTTGACAGTTGTTTCTGCCAGTTGAAAAACTTGTTCTAATGCATTTGTTGTATTTTTATTATAGTTAAAACATACAAACAACAGTTCCGGAATGCAATGTTATACAAGAAGTTCTATTGCATTTATGCATACAAACTTCTTGTCCAAGCCCAAATAATATTTGAAGGGTATACATGATAATAGCTATTTTGCAAGAATTGTACATAAACAACAGCAATTCACTTAGTGAATATGCTTGCACAAATATCGTGATGACTGCCAGAAATAAGGAACTGAATTAACGTGGAGTATTGGGCAAGATAGCACCTGTCCTGTGTGTTTCTTGCGCTACACTTCCCTTTGTAATCATCCATTCATTATCTTTTACCTTGGAGACGTCATACACATTACCTTGTTGGCGTAACGCATACGGAGGAACTATGAAAACCTAGGAGAGAGCACGGGGTTATTTTCTCAATATGTTGCTTCTCCATGGCACACATCACTGGCACTTTTAGGAAGGATAACTTTCGTGGTATTTTCAACATGATGAGCAGGTTTACTTGAAATGCATTAACAAATGTTTGAGCTAGTATTTAGGGTCACGGGCTGAATTTTCATTAGTGCTTCTTATGTTGTGTGACTTCGAATCAGTAGCACATAAATAACGGTGTCAAAAGAAAGACTTAGGCAAGACAAGCACTAAAACATTAGATCATCCTTTGTACAATAATTAAGAATGACAAGTTGGGCAGGTCAGTAATGATGAAGTTGAAGTCATGTACCTTGATGAATCAATGCATCATTGCATCTCTAGAAGCCATGAGTCATTTGAAGTTTTGCATCTCTGCAAGCTTGCCTAACTTGTCTTCCTACGTTATGTTCATTTTTCCTAGCGACTGTGCCTCTACACAAAACTCCGCAAGGTTTTCTAAAGTATTCTATACGTTTTATTCATCGCATATCTTGACTTGACCAAGTGCAAACATTTTTTCTATGACGACTTAAAATTTTCCTCGCTATACTTGTTACTTAAATTCGAATGAATGCTTGCTTGTAATGTATATCAACTTGGTGCTTCCTTTGCAGTCATTGGTACACCTGATGACCTGCCAAATCTACGACGACCAATAGCTACTGATTTTGAAGTCATCGATGAAGTGAATGACCAGCTCAGTGAAGCAGTGAGTATGCAACATTGTCATTTGTGTGTTAAGTACGCGTCCGCTATATGGGATCCCGTGCAGCAAAATTTAATTAACGCGTTAGAATCTGTTCAGAACCGCTCAGTTCGGTTCATTTGTTCTAATTATTCCCGTACTGCTAGCATATCAGAAATGAAATCTAACCTTGACCTACCCAATTTAACTGTCCGGAGGAAACTGGCGCGACTGCATTTTTTTCATAAGATATTTTTTCACAATCCATCAATGAAGCGAGACCTCATTTCACAACCGTCATACCACTCATCGCGCATTGATCATCAGCATAAGGTTGCCATTCTGTTTTGCCGCACCAAATTCTTTTCAGCAGCCTTCTTACCGAAAACAGCCGCCGATTAGAACCACCTTCCCTCTTCCGTTGTATCAATAACAGACCCTTTGTTATTCAAGACTGCAATTTCTCAGCAATGCTTGTAACTATACGCAGTTTCCATTATCTATCTTTGTCTTGTATGTGCTTGAATTCTTATACATTTTTAGTTGACTTATGTTGCCTTCCTGATTTGCGCATCTGATACTTGTTTCTTTATTTTGTCTTTTTTTCTTGTGTGTTATATATGTTGTACCCACCCCCTCTGTAATGCCCTACGGGCCCTGAGGGTATTCTAATAAATAAATAAATTAATTAATTAATTAATGTTTATGCATTTGAATACACTGTGCTTGAGAAAAGACACACACAGAGAGCAATGAATGAGGATGGCTGCTCTTTGCTCCCTGATTGATAGTACAACCGTGTATGCCCTAAACCTAATATAATATGAGTTACTGTTAATTCCAGCATATTGTCTAAACATAGTGTCTTAGGGCACGGTGTAAGAATAAGTTAGGTGATGACACTGGGCTCGGTGGCACGTCCAGATTGTGTTCGCCACCTGGGCTGTTTCCACTTGATGCGACAGATGGCGCTCACGGAGAGTGGGTCAAGGCACTCACTAGAGAGTGACTCCGATCCGCATGTAGAGCCTCGTTTGTTTATTACGCTCAATATACACATGTACAGGGACGTCAACAAATCAATACACTGTGACTCTGCTCTAACGAAATTGATTTCCTAGTTTTATATGTAGCTTATTTGCTAAGTGTTTTTGTCACATAAATACTCCGACAGCAGCAAGCGTCGACCTGGCGAGTGGTCGCATTTTGACGCCACAGCACTAAACACGTTCTCGAAAGACAAGGTCTGACGCTTAGCGTAGTCCCCCACTGCACTACACAAGGTTTGAAACACTTCACCGTGTGACGTCGAAGGCAGATGAGTCGATGCGTTGCGTTGCGTCTTACGCCGACATCAGCGATGACTCAGGCATGGTCGGAGCGGAGCGTGAGGCAGAGTCGATGTGTGGCAAGCACGTCCCGGACAGCCAGTAGTAGGCCCAGGTCTGGAAAACGCCCGGATCCGAGTACAACGGACCGGCGCCGGCTGCTGGATCACACGGTAGAAGGGAGCCAGGCTCGTGCGGACCACAGGCACAGGTAGGCTTCGGGACCACGACCCGACGAGCGCTTCAGCCTGCCACTGTTTCGTTCGGATCCTTCTTCTCGAACGCCCCGTCGTCGTCTTCCTCTTCTCTCTCCCCATGGCTTGGCTTGACTTTGACGACACGATTCCGCCTTTTCCTTGTCTCATCGTCATCTTCGTCGGCGTACGGCACAGCACAAACTCACAAACATCGCGCACCAGATGAACCTACCGCGCATATCATGACAAAAGTCCCCCCTTTCAAAAGTTTTTTTTTTTTTTAAAAACTGTCCAAAGTGCGCGGGAGACAAGACTTACGACAAACAAATGTACAGAACTGTTGCACCAAGAGAATAGTCTGTATGTGAGAGTCCCTAGGCATATGGTACATTATTACATTAATGTTGTATAGCTAGCACCTACACCTGTAGCCTGCTCATATAATCAGCACCTACGTTCTCTGATCCTTTGATATGCTCAACGCGAAAGGTGTACTCTTGCAATGCGAGACTCCAGCGCAAGATCCGGCTGTTCAAATGCTTGGCTTGAGAGAGGTATCGTAGCGGTTGATGGTCAGTCTGAACGACGAAGGAGGTTCCATAAAGGAAGATATGAAATTTCGCGATCGCCCAAACTAACGCTAAACACTCTCTTTCAATTGCAGAGTATCTCTCTTCCCGGGGCATAAGTTGGCGGCTGGCATATGACACCGGGTGAAGAAGACCCTCGTGTTCCTGCATAAGCACAGCGCCTATACACCTATCAGATGCATCTGTACTAAATACGAAGGGTTTCTTTATGTCAGCAGCCTTGACTACTGGCATAGATGCTAGAGCTTGTTTGAGGGTTTCAAATGCCTCTTCTCTTTCGGTATTCCACGCTAACTTGTTCTTTTCCATCTTTCTTGTCATTTCAGTCAGTGGTTTCGCTTTCTGGGCATAGTGAGGTATGAGGTCTCGGTAATATCCCGCCAAGCCGAGAAAAGAGCGAAGCTGCTTCTTCGTTTCCGGTCTTGGGGCTTTAGCGATCTTCGCTATCGTGCTTTCTACTGGGCGGATTGTACCATCGCCGAGGTGATGCCCAAGGAAGATGACAGAAGTCATTCCGATCTCACATTTTTGAGGTTTGATCCGTAGGCCTGCTTCTCGGATCCTCTGAAACAACTGTTTCAATGTCACTAGATGCTCCTCCCACGTAGCTGTGGCAATTAGAACATCGTCTATGTAATGCACTGTGTTTGGAATGCCGTGCAGTAATGTCCTCATCAATCGTGTGAATATGGCCGAGGCTGTCTTAATCACAAAAGGCATATAGAGAAAATGGTAGTGTCCAGATTGCGTTGAAAAAGCTGTTTTCGGACGAGAACTTTCCTCTAAGGGTATTTGCCAATAGCCCTTTGTAAGATCTAACTTTGAGAAAACCGACTTCGTGCCGACTTCAGCAAACATAATGTCAGTTCTGGGTATGGGTTCAGAATCGGACACCAGAACCTCATTAATGTGACGGAAGTCAATGCACGCGCGAAAGCTGTTGTCCGGTTTCTTAACCAGGACCAAGGGTGAGTTATACGGCGAATGGGATCGTTCAATAACTCCCAACTTCAGCATATCTTGAACCTCCTTCTCTACTATTTCCTTCATTGCAAACGGCAACGGATACTGTGACGTGCTGATTGGTTTTGTTGTAGTAAGCTCTAGCCCCGGCACTCTAGGAGGTTCGTCTTCCCAGGAACTTCGGAAAATATGTCTCGGAATTCCTCCAAGAGATTGCACATATCATCGCGTTGTGCTTCGTCTAAATTACTTCCGAGTGTGACCGACTCAATACCTTTCCCTTCATTTACTTTAAATGTAGGGAGGGGTGAATCCGACTCTCCTTCTTCGACTACAACGAACGATGAAGCTTGACTAGTGACTTCTGGTTGACGTTCTTCGTAGCGCTTGAGCATGTTTATGTGAAACATTTTCGTGGTGTGCCCAAGGTCCAACCAATAGTCGTGGTCATTCTTTTTTCCTGTAACCGGAAATGGCCCCTTCCAGTGCATAAGAAGCTTGTTTTCCCTGGTTGGGAGCAATATAAGAGCCCGGTCACCAACTTTGAGCTGTCGGGTTTTGGAGGTTCGGTCATAATACTTCTTTTGCGAGTGTTGAGCTCGGGAGAGATTCTCTTGAGCCAGCTTCAAGGTGCGTTCAAGACGTTCTCTCAGATCAAGCACGTATCCGTAAGTAGTCTTGATATCTTCCTCTAGGTCTTCCCCTGTCCAGAGTTCCTTCAATATATCCAGGGGTCCTCGGACGTGCCGGCCGTAGATCAGTTCAAACGGCGAGAAGCCCATACTGGCCTGAGGTACTTCTCGATAGGCGAATAACAGAGGCGCAAGAAATCGGTCCCATGACTTCGGCTTCTCTTGGCACAACTTGCGCAACATCTGTTTCAAAGTGCCGTTGAACCTTTCGACCAAGCCATTGCATATCGGGTGGTAAGGCGTCGAGCTCAAATGTCGAATAGCAAGCAGAGCATTCACCTCTTCCATCAGGCCTGACGTGAAGCAGGATGCTTGATCACAGAGGATCTCCCGTGGAAATCCTATTCGAGAGAACATCTCCAGTAGTCCATCTGCTACTGTTGCCGAATCAATTGCGGGCAAAGCCACCGCGTCCGGGTACCGAGTGGCGAAATCCACAAGGGTAAGAATGTACCGATTACCCTTCTTTGAAATCGGCGTCAGAGGTCCAATGATATCAACGGCCACACGTTCGAATGGCGTGTCAATCAAAGGCATTCGTCCAAGAGGCGCCTTGCCTACTTTGCCTTTGGGATATGTCCTTTGGCATGCGTCGCATGATTTTACGAATCTTCGTACCTCCTCCTGTACACCGGGCCAATAAAACGACTCCAAAACTCGGTCCTTCGTCTTCTTGATACCCTGGTGACCAGATATCGGTGATTCATGTGCCAAGTGCAACACATGGACACGCAACGCCTTTGGAACCACCGCTTGTTGAACTGATTTACCCGGAGTCAAGTGGTAAACGCGGTACAAGATTCCTTTCTCGAACATAAATGAGTGGTATGTGGCTCCTTTACCGCGGATGAGGGTGTCGACTTTCGCCCTACAAACATCCAGCGACCGGTCTTCCTCTTGTTTTTGGCGAAATGACTCCTGTGTCACCTCTAAGTTTCCAAATTTAGCAGTCGTGAGCTTCCGGCGATGTCCTTTGCTTGAAACACCAACCATGACTGTGCTATTCGTCCCGCATCCATCCTTGGATTTCTCTTCAGAATTCAATGCCTGATTAGTTTCCGACTTCAGGCTCGCTGACTCCTTCCACGTTGAGTCGGGGTCATTAGCGTCACGGGCGCCGGGAACATTTCCTACGATGACATCGTAAAGTGGCGACGTCATGCATTTGACTATCGCATTTCCGGTGAAATAGGGCGATAGAATCCGTACTTCTGCTTCCGGTACCTCGATGCAACTACCATCGGCCAATAAAAT